GGAGGCCTTGAGCACAGTATAAAATGACCCCAGTGCAAACCTCCAGCATTCCTTATCCTTTAGTCTCCAGCTGTTAACATCAGCCAATGCAGCACGCAGGCTTGGCCGCCGTTAACACAATCGTTGTGGCTCTCACTCCTTCCTTTTCCCCTCCCTCCCTTCTCCATTTGCCAGTACAGTCAGCAGTGTTTCATATTAAGCACAGTTTCAATTATTTTAAATTGGGGAGTCCCAAGTACAAGACCTGTCTGTTTGCACCCCTCATACCATCTACTCGAGAAAAGATGAGGGAGGGAGGTAATTTTTCCAAAGCATATAGGTTTTTCTTTAGGATCAGTTTGTCAGCAGGGATTTTTTCTGAAGGATTAAAAAAAATATTTGAAAGCCGCCGATATGTGTCTACGCAGGATTCTTTAAGCACAATGTGATAGTTCCTTTAAAGCAGCCCTGTTTATGCATATTTTCTTGGAAATTCTTCTTCTAACTCTCGCTCTTGTATCTATTTGCTCCAGGATATTTCAAAGATGGTTTGGCTCCCACTGAGACTTGGAGATCTGATGCCACAATGAGGACTCACACCCGGGGCGCCCCGAGTGTGTTTTTCATACCCGTGATTTGCCTCTCCTTGGCCTACGGCACCAGAGAGGACCCGGCCACCATGGTTCCCTTTGTCAACGCCAACTACGACAGCTACCCCATGCTCTACTTCTCCAAGGGGGACGTGGAAGGCCTGCGCCTCAAGGCGGCCACCACCCACCAGCACATCGCGGCCCGTCTCACCGAGGCAGTGCAGACCATGCTCTCGAACCCCCTTGAGTACCTCCCTCCCTGGGACCCAAAGGAATTCAGCGCTCGCTGGAATGAAATCTATGGCAACAATCTTGGGGCCCTGGCAATGTTCTGCTTGCTCTATCCGGAAAATATCGAAGCCATCAGCATGGCCAAGGATTACATGGAGAGGATGGCAGCTCAGCCTAGTTGGTAGATTTTTGTCTTTTTTTTTTTTTAAGTTGCTATTCGTACTGCATAAACTCAGTTTGCAATTGAAAGAGTGAGTGAATGAGTGAAATGCTTAAACGTATTAGCCAGTAGCTATTGTAGTCTAAATAGTTAGGTGAGTTGCTCATACATTCATTTTAATAGTGTCTGACTTATACGCGTTTATGCATTTATGCATTATGCAGTGTATGCGTTTATCCTTTTTTAGACCAGCTGTGCCACACAGATTTTCGCCTTCACTGGACCTACCCTGTTGTAAATTAATGGTGCAAGAAGGAGCAGGACACTTTGCATATCACGCTAATTCCTGTAAATTCAAAAATAATCATAGAATCATAGAATTGTTAAGGTTGGAAGGGACCTTTAGAGAGCATCTAGTCATAATGATAGCCAATCAGGATTCGCATCTTATTGTGGTGGGCATTGATAAAAATATTTTTCCTTTCTTTTCCAGACTCATAAGGTTTCTTTGGGTATCAATAGAAAGAATTCAGAAAAGGAGACTACATCAAAAACATAAAATTTTTTGTAGGTAAACGTAACACTCTGACTTTTATAAAAATATGATATGCACTACAATTTTCCAATCTAATGAAAAGTGTTCATTTATATTTAGCACAAAGATTAGAACTACTCAGCTTAGTGATAGAGTTTAATTACTAGAAAAAGCTCAACTGACATTGTTTTCTATTTTTTTCTGCTTGCTTGCTCCAAACACTATCTTTTAAAACACTTTAAGAATTGTTTCATCAGTTAAGTGTTTCATGACTTCTCTAACATCTGTCTATCCAAGCCTCATTTTAGGCTCAAAACTCATTTTCTGTCCAGTTCTTCAACATCTCCTTTATCACATTATGTACTTTATCACTGGGACATGATAAAGAGAACTGACCATCAAAAATACATAGCTTTACTGCAATTGTTTGAGCGACTGGCATTTGATAACCACCTCCTGGATTTATTTTACCTTCTGAATTAGAATTGTCATATACAAGACCCTCTGTCCTCATTGTGCCACCCATTTTCTGTAGGGTCAAAAGTTAAATTTTTTTGTCCTGAAATACCTTGAACTATTTTCTAATTGTAGCAAACAACTTTCCTCTGCACGTATGTAGGAAATTGTGCACTGCGGGAGTTGCAAGGTTTTCAAGCTGCAGTTTAAGTGAATGTGGAACCTGAAAATTAGCCTTATGTCTAAAATAGCCTGGTCACATGTGGTCATTCAGTAAACGACCTCTAAAGACCTTTTTTCAGTCTTGCTAAGACTCTGTCTTATGTTCTTTACAGTTATGTTATGGCCTGAAGAGCCATACAATTGGGTCTAGGAACTAGGAGTTCCGTCAGAGCTCCTTCTCTTCACCTGCAGCTGCTGTCCTTGAAGTCCATGGTGTCAGCAGCTCACCAGAAGTTCAAATCAGCTTGCAAGCCAGGACAGGGGAAGAATTTAGCTATTCAACCTGTATTCATTGCTTTATCAGATATTTAGTTACCTTCTCTGGAGAAAGAACAAACTAGTAGTGTCCTATAATTAGTGTCCAGCTATGGACAGTCATTAAAAATATGCTGGATTGAGTTAATGTGACTTGTGATTCATTTGATGGGCATGATTTAAAAGGCATCAGCAGTGTGGGGTTCCCCCTAGGATCTAAGAGTTAAATGTCAAAGAAATATAGAAACTAGAACTAAACAAATAGTGGGAGAGAGAAGGGACACACTTGGACATGCTTCTTGCACACACACAGGAGTGGACACATGAAGCAAGCAATTCTGTGAGTAGTGAGGTTACTCATTTCTAGCTGACATTCTCACTTTCCTGTGTCTGCTCACTGTTACAATGACCTCATTCCATTTCTGTATCTCCTGTGAATCCTGCCCTGGAATAATTTTTGTTCCTTGGTTCCTTAGCATAATGCTCGCCTTTGTCCCAGCTAACCAGCTGCTGATCAGAACAGAGCAGATATCCTATTTCTGCTCGGCTTTGATAATGTTTACCCCTAAAGCATACTGTTCTTTTAAAGCAAGTATCTTGTGTTACTTCAATCAGAGATAAGCCATCCTTTTTTACCATCTGTCCTTCTTGAGGTAGCCATGTCATTCAGCTAACAATCCAGCTTTAATTGAGGTTTTCCGCTTCACAGAGAAAGAACGTATAGTGAGGTTAGGAGGGAAATACAGATGGAGGGAATCGGAAACATAAGGAATATTGCTGTCTTCTGTGCAGCCCCCAAGCACACACAGCAGCTTTGCAAATGCCACAACAAAATCTTGAACTTGACTGCCTTTTTTTTTCCTTCCCAAGGAACTCATGACTGAAAAAGTTATACATGTGGGGTTTACAATTTGCTTTTCCATCACTGATGACAGCAATATATGTCCTTCTCCTCCATCAGTATCTTTCTGCAAAGTTGTACCAATGTAGCATTTCTGAGGCATGTACTGCTCTGTCCAGCTTTGCTAAAACAGGTCAATATGTTCAGAAGCTAATGGAGCAGACAAACAGACAACATGGTTAAGTAAATCTGTTTTTCTTAAGAAAGTCAACTAAAAAGTATCAACAAAACATGTTGCTGCACACATTTCTCCACTTAAAATAAGACTAGAAGAACAAATGTGACAAATGCAAGACGTTGCATAATCACTACTGCTGGGCATTTAGATCTTATGGAGATAACTGCTATAAGACTGCATGAACCATTCTCAGAGTATCATAGTAATGGAATTATTGAAGAGCAATAATCATACTTATTTATGGCCTTGAGAAAAATACTGTGGGCAATTAACAATGTCAAGCTTATTAAATAATTGAGTGTAACTACAGAGGAAGGAGTGGTATTGATGCTACGAACACTTAGAGCACCAAACGCTAAGAGAGCAGTCTGTCTAGACTCTCTATGTCATCAGTAAAGAGGATGTGTTCAGAAAAGTATCAGTAAGATGTCTAGTCTGGAGGACCTTTTTTTTTTTTCCCCCAAAACTTGTATAATGTAGGTGCCTACTCTGCCCTCTAAATTGCCCTAAAAGTGCCTTTTTATACTAGAGGATTCCATCAACACACATTAAAAAGTTAAATCTGGCCATCATGTATGGTTCCTTGTTGGCAGCTTGGTTCTTTGGTAGTATAAACTGGCTTTCATTTACTTCTGCTGAAATGGTATTGATTCTAAAATAACTCTATAACTTTAAAAATACCAAGTTGGCTGGGTTTACATTAATATTTTTAAAGATCTTAAATTAAATTTAAGCCTTACAACAAAGCAAAAGTGCATATTGGTAGTGTGTGAAGTACTTAGATAAATTCAGTCTCAAGTGTGCCTGGGTTTTGTCCCAGCATGTGTGGAGACTAGCTTTTAATTTTCATCCTTACGTTGGTGAGAATCTCCGATAGCCCAAATATATTTCAGTATATCAGGCTATAATTATGGTAAAGTCTGGTAATACATATGTGGATATGGAATATAATCAAACACTTATGTCTCCTCTCCTCTATTACAACAGTAATTTTCTATTGCATGATAAAGTAAACCCTTAACTCAGTTCCCATTCATGTAGGTTGGCAGAGGTTGAGCTGTTTGTCATAACAACGAATGCTGAGAGGCATGTTACTCATAACAGAGCATCAGTAATTGCTATATCCTGGAGTGGGTTTATATTTTAAAATAAACAAAGGGTCAATGGCTAATAGCTAACTGTAACAATCATTAAAAATAATATGGGAACAGATAATGCTTTGGAGTTTAGCAAGACCAGGGAAACATAATACGCTAATATTCCAATAAAAATAGACATGCTTTTGCTATTTCTGTATGCAAAAATTAAAGACCAGTGTTAAATAATTTGACTGGTTTTCCTGGGACTCAGTATCTAAAAGGTTTCTAAAATCTTTGGGAAAGTTTGTCCTTATATTTAAGCCACATCATTTTATTTTACAGAAAACAGGGATGCAGATTAGTTTTCTGGCATTTTGTCTATCACTTGCCTCTAGAACACTCCCTAACAAAAGTGCGTTTTTGGCTGAGGGGATCTGTACTAATGATTCTTTCCATATGCTGCCTAAGCCTGTTCCAGAACCGACTGAAATGATGTAATTAGAGGCACACATCATGTAGAAATAAGAGTCTAGTCAGATTTTATGTTTTGGGCAAAGAGACGAGGCCCTTTTTACTAAGGCTGTCTTATAAACAAATAACAAATAAGTTCACAAAATTTTCAGCCTTTTTTTTTACAGTGGGAGAGATTTCCCTATTTAGGATTTCCAAAGAGCGGTGCCAGATTTCAGATTTTTTTTCCTGTTGTTGTCACATGTAACTCATGCATCAGTTTTAAATACGAACACTTTACTACTGTAGAGTGAGGAGTAGGATCTGATGGTCAGCTTTACTTCACGGGCTTCACAGGGGAGAGAATTGTTGTCAAGTATGTGCAAACATGCCAAGAAAACAGCAGTGAGTAAGTAGAAAATAACCCAAGCCTTGGGCATAACAAATCTGTGACCCTCTTGGTATTTCATATTAACCAGCAATCCTAATCCTTCCACTAGGTTTTGTGTATTAGATGTATCAGTACATACTACATGGCTGTTGCTGTCATGGCCAGAAAGCTCTCAGTGCTTATAGAGTTATGAGGTTATGAGGTATAAATAATTGTTTGCATAAATGTATGAATAGAATAAATTCACGTGCGTGAAGTTGAAATAGAGCAAGTCTCTGTGCTGATACCACAAGTTTAGAGTATCCTTTTGCCTCACAACAATCAACCATCAGTCACATTCAGACAATACTTGGTAGTGATTTATAGGAGTGTGCTATAGCAGCTAGTGCAAAGGAAGCTTCAGGGAGATGCTGAGATAGGCTTCCTGGGGGGAAGAAGAAAAAGAAAAGTGAGGGTAGGAGGATGAATTTGGTATCTGGAATGTATATTATTTTAGTAACTGAAATATCAAACCCTCATGTTGTTTTTATCTTTTTCATATGTAGCATTTAAAA